CTTTTGCATTTCATCTTATGTTTTATATTGCATCATTTTGTATTAGTCTTGTTGGAGACTTGGAGTTTGTATGAGTGTATGATGATTGTATGCCACTGTGGAGTATGGAGAGTTGGAGACTAATAAACTATGAATATAATTATGTCTTTCACCATATTTTCAATAATTTGAAGTTTTGAACATATTTCAACATTTATGCATATATATTTGCCTACAAAGGTTGGTTAAAATACATATATATGCAAAAAATTACAAAATTGACGCAAATATCTGCACATATGTACATTTAGACAGCTAATATATACATACTTTTGAAAATTTGTCACCTCAAAGCACCTGATGTTTTCGGCGCCCACCAATGTGCTGGACACCCTAGGGCAGGCTGAGTGCATAGGGGCTGTGCAGCGTTTTCTAAAACGTTACAAATGATCATCACCAGGTTCTCAATTCTGCAAGAGATTCAATTTTGGTCACATGTGAAGAGTACAATAAGCTTGTGAAAAATATCAACTGCGTATCACAAATCCCTCTACACCCCACTGCTACACAGGTTATGCATTTTTTATGCCTCAAAGGCCATCCCCTTACCCAAAAAAAAAAGGCCATCTCCTTAGTTCATTTACCAAGGAGCCTCTGATCATATGATTGGTGAGTCTTCTATATTTTCTTTTTTTGATCAATCAATTCCCAAATGCATTTGTTACAATTAGAGGATGGTTCTTTGTCTAGTGTGTTTAGGAAAGGCATGATTATCCTACTTCTCTTTCATTGTCCCCAAGTGCATGGTCTGATAGTTTCCGTAAAATTGTTGTAGCATAGCAATTTCAATGAAGCCATGTTCATTATTCAATTTTTTTTCGGGAAATCCATAGGCATAATTGTCTAGGTAGTTTATGTTGATGATATTGTAATCACAGGGAATGACCATAAAATAATTAATGAATTGAAGGGGCATCTGCGATATATGTTTAGTCAAGTCTAATTATCGCATTGGTGTTTATCTCGATTCAGTGGAGTTGATAGACACACAATTTGGTAACTAGGAGAAACGAATCCGTGGAAAACAATGTAGCAGTACAAGCTATCAAACGAAAGCCAAACAACACCTCAAGCAAGAATCTTTTTTGCAAAGGGCTTTTTTATTTCTAGGAAACACAGATCTCAGGGTACCTGTGGATACCCTGTTAATTATGTCCACTCTCTCTACAAAGGAAAATAGAACAACTTTGTCCAATCGATTACACGATACAATGAAGACAGTCATTTAAAGGAAGACGAACAATTAGATATGCTCAATTATAGGATGGGTTTCAGAATAGGAAGGACCATATTCTTCTCCTAAAAGGTTGTGGTCCATAGGGACCTCTCTGGAGTCTTTGGCTTTCTATCACCACTCGGAAGCTACTGCAAAGTTGCTAGTGCTCTACGAGTCTGCTGAAGAGCTCGATCATACTCTTGTCTCCTTTTTGGGGGTGTGTCTTGTGTCCTTTGTTCCCAGTTGTCTATTTCGGTTGATAATGCGTGACCATGGTTGTAAAGGTGGGATAGCTGGGTGGTTGCTCAAAGAACCAGTAAAGTGATGGGGTTCATTATGAATAACAGAAGGTTGTTCCAAATAGAGCTTTGTCAACCGTCCAGTAATGGGTGTTGAAATGGACCCTCACCTTCCTTGAAGATAGCTTAATGGGAAGAATAGGCACAGATCTCCCCTAAGGGATTACAATATAACATCCTTACTCCTCCGTTCACTACAGAGACGATAAGGGCTTGACATAAGGCCTTTTATCATGTCTTCCAAGATTGGTATAAGGATCTCTCATCTTTGCCCTTTTAGCAACTGCTTGGATGGAAGAAGGGGCATCCTTTTTGCTGTTGCTAAAAGAGATTAACCTCTATATTTGTTAGGTAAAGTATTTTGTCAAACATTTCCTTTAGTGCTTCACATTGAAGATAACATATGAAATATCCTCATCAATTATTTAAGGAATAAAGATATCATTCAAGGGGTAATGTCTATAACACCGGCCTTCGATTTCATTTTAGGTAATATAGGTATGAACCTTCAGATGAAATATAAGTCGAGCTTTTAAACAGTGTACTAATAATTGTGTGACCTAGGAAGGAATATGAATAGATGGGGGAACTTGGATTATATTTGGGCGTGAGCTTATTGTGCGAGCGCGATGTCGGGTCCTTGTCCAATATAGAGGGTAAGTAAGTAGGCAATGTTTTAAAAAACGGTCCACCTGGCGCCTGCCTAGGCGGCCTGGACCAAAAATCCGCCCTCCTAGACCCAGGCGGCCCTACACGGGCGAATGTACCTGGGCAGGCGCCAAAGGGGGTGCCCAGGGCGGATGTACATGGGTGGGCGCTCAGGTGGGCTAGGCGGGGGCTTAGGCAGGCGCCCAGGAACATAAGGCGTTTCTCATTGTTTTAAAACTACAGGGCTCCCGAGGTTCTGGGCGCTGAGAGCCAAGTAGGCCGCCTAGCGTTTTTTGAAACCTTGTAAATCAGTGGATTTGAACTGTATATTGCCGCGAGTTTGTTGCGTGGACCAGGTCCTCATTCAAAGGAAGCCAACAAACCTAAAGAGATGCCCTCAATATTTGAGTAATTTGATATACGAGGTATGTCTTCTAGGAGTACACTGAGCAAAATAACATGTAAAAAAACCACAAAACTTTGTTATCTCAAAGGAAGTATGTAATAGATTTGTTGTTAGAAATAGGGATTTTGGGTGCTAAGCCAAATGATACACCTAGTGATCCAAGTACTAAATTATCAAAGAATCAAGGAGAGCTACTAGATGATTAAGTACATAAGACTTGTAGGTATAGACCTTATCTACGTGACAATTACTCTACCAGATACAGCCTTTGCAATGAGGGTAGTGAGTCAATTCATGCATTCTCCTAGGACATCACACTAGGAGGACAAATAGAGAATATTGACGCATATTAAAGGCACTCCAAGTCGAGGGCTTACCTATAGGCAGAATGGCCATTTCAACATTGAGAGATATTTTGATGCCTATAGGAAGGATCTCCTCAGATAGAAGATCTACTGCAGATATTGAATTTCTTTTTAGAGGTAATTTGGTGAAATGGAAAAGTAAGAAACATCATGTGGTAGCCAAGTCTAGCACAGAGGCTAGTATAAGACCAACGGCTCACACTACATGTGAGTTAATGTGGCTAACGACCTAGATGGTAGAGATGGGATTAACAGTTATTGAGCCGATGAAGATATTTTGTGATAATCAAGCAGCCATATATAGTTAGCAACTCAGCGTTCTATGAGAGAACAAAGCATATTGAAGTGGATTGTGATATTGTTCGGGAAAAAAGTAGCCAATAAGCAAATATCTACTCCACATATGAAGTTGAAGGATCAGGTCGCTGATATTTTCGACAAAGCTCTTGACAGTGACCAGATTCAGATGATTTGTGACAAGCTGGGCAAAGGTGAAATTTATGCTCCTGCTTGAGGGCGAGTGTTTAACAGTATATCTTAGTTAGTTTTTTTCATTGTCTTGTTTGTGCACCAATAGGGCATTCTCGTCATTTTTTATACACTTAAGGGCTTTAGTGTAATTTGAACATATGTTATAATTATAATGGAAATCTATCGAAATATAATGAACTATCCAACATTTCACCCATTTGCAACTATTCCAACTTAAGGTCATGTGTTTTTTATGAGCATTTTGAAACTAAATCAAAAGATATGGGTAAAATGACAAATTGTTCATCTCTTGTGAATATTCTGATAAATTTCCCCAATTATAAATAAAAGAACAGTGTGGAGGCTATATAACCCTTAAATGAATACCTCCATCCTACTCTACACTTTTTCACCTTCTCTTTCATACTCTCTCTAACTTTTCTCTCTCTACTTCCTCTTATTCGTCTGCACTCTTTTGTACTATACTATTGACATGAGTCCTGAAACACGACTAAACCTATTCGACATATCAAATGAAAATTGCTCGAGTTGAATTGAGCGAGGCCCAAATCAACTCAACAATGTTATAGAGTCCAGCTAACAGCTAATTATGTAGTTGTATCTCTTCAAATTCATGTTATTGCTTTTTGGGGCAAATGTAATGTCATGTTCTTTGAGGTTTAATCTAGAACCAGACTCCAATCTCAACAATAAAATCCAAATCTAAAAGCCAATTAACTGCATTTTGCATGGTTATTCTTACATTGTATTGGTTTTGTCCAGTGTTGTACAGATAATATGCCATGTCAGCCCTAACTACTTTTGTGGAAAGGCTTCAGGATCCTCTATGAGGCTTCTTACTCTAATAGCTAAAAAGGAAGATATGCCAGAACTGCTTATTTATTTTTATTATAATAGAAAGAGATAGCATATAAGAAAGAAATTTTAAAGGGAAGAAGCAAAAGATAAGAACGAAGTCGATATCTCCGAGTACTCTTTCATTTTTGTGAATTCGGAATTCTTTTTCCTAAGATTCAAAATCATATGTTCTATGTCGGCAAGTATCTTCATAACGGTTTAATAGCAGATGCACAAAAATGCACATGCAAACACACACAAGCACATATGCACAAGTGTACACCCACATGTACAAGAAACTATAGTTCCACAACTAGTAGTCCATAAGTTGCCATTGAGGATATTTTTCTGCAATCAATTTCAAATCATGTATACATCGTATGTTAAGTAACACATTCCACAACAATTTTCCATAAACTCTCAAGGACCCCTTGACAATCTATTTCTTAAGAGAGCAAAATTTTAGCCTACTAATTCAATTCCTTCAAAGATATATACATGAAATGAAAAAATAAATGGAGGGAAACAGAAGCAGAAATATGATAGCACTACTTGATATAGAAGCGTAAGCAACATACACAAAAAAGATGATTTCAATCTCAAGGAAAACTACAATGGTATCTTAGAAAACAACTTAATACTACTGATATAAGCACACCACCTTCATTCACAATTTTCCAATGTATTCTATACCTTACCAGCTATACATCGATCTACCCAACGCAGAGTCCGGTACATAGCCTCCTCAATGCGAGGGCCAGTAATGGTGGTCTTTACAACATCATCAAGGGCCATGATTATATCAGCTCCAATTTTGTTCTGAAAACAGAAATTTTCAACAACTAACACAAATTATATTTTTTCCAGCCAATCAAAGTCTACAATATCCAGGGAGCCATACGGTGCCTACGGCACTATTCTAATAGATAAGTTTCCATGAGTTCCCCCTCAAGAATGTGAGAAGCATCATAATAAAATTGTGAACATGATAAGTTCCCATGAGTTCTCCCACATAAATGTGAGAGGCATCATAAAATTGAGAAAATGACAATTATGCTTTTGTCAAATATTTTCCAAATTAAGAAAGGTCCATAGATGATTCCATTTTCTAATTAATATTTAAGAATATCCAGGACATTAAGCTGATATCACTCATCATTTGTTGTCTCTCAAAAGTACTAAACCAAAATCAAAGATCTGAATTAAAACAATAATTACGTCAATGAAATTTCATGATTTCCTTTCACCATTTTTTTACTCAATTTGAATATTTTCGTTCTCTTCAGTCTCTACAATCATTTTTTCTGTATTCCAGCCATATTCCTTTTGTATCTTTGATTTGGTAAAAGTCTTAAGCAAAGTGTTGGAGGTAAATAAAACATTCAACGAGTATTTCAACTCTAGTTCTACTTATCAAAGTGTCATCTACCTCTATACACCTGCAAAAACCAGTTACCACCAGTTTTTCCTTTTACAAAACATATAATGTGCTAAGCAATACGATATGCAATTTAATAATCAGTGATACACACCATACATTCAGAATGAATACATTCCAGTGAACTGAGATGTGACGTTCAATAGGCAATAAGATGAAGGAAAGTAGACTTAGGCCCTGTTTGGTTCTTTGGAAATGGGACTCATGGGGAAATGTGTGTCCAGGAATTGGTATCTCCTGAAATTGGCATTTCCTAGAAGATGGGTGTATGATGCTTTGATAGCATCTGGCAAAGACCTGGAAGATGCATCTTCATTGTTTGGAGTGCCTCGAAGATGTATCTTCAGTAAATTCAAAAAACTTCATTGTATCGTTATTTAAAAAAAAAACCAGTTTCAATGTTGTGATTATTGTCAAGGTCCTTTTTAGTGTTTGTCCAAGTGAGGAATAAATGGCAACATTTCAAAATTGCCAAGTCTGTCTTCTGAAATCTAACAACAACCAAAATTTGAGGCAAAATTTTAACATTTTTTTTTCAACAAGTTCAGATATAAAATTTATACTTGCAAAGGTGAGATTCCTTCCTTTTTTTTATGAAGTTAACTGTTTGTATTGCTAAAAGAAGGAGTGTACATTAGTAAGACCTGAGAATACCCACAGACCGGGTCTGTCAACCAAAAATTGGCCACCTAGCAATGGTCCTGTACAAAAAATGGAGAGCTTATAAACTGTGCAAAAGAAATAAAGACTGCGCCCGTAGACGTCCAAAGCAAAACATAAGATGGACCAGCGATAAAACCATGGTCTACGTAGCTCAACAAAAAGTCACATCTATATGGGAGCTTCAGCTTGGATCCGAGCGACGTCCTTAACCAGAAGATCTGCGAAGTCATTCGACGTCCTCTAGATATGCGTCTAGGAGATGTCGATTCTTTGGCTTTCAGCAAAGAAGGAATGCAGAAGAAGGGGTGGTTGCGCTACTGTTTGTTATGGAGCCACTCTTTCTGTGAGCACGGAGGGAAACATCCAGGAATACCATAGGCAACATGGTTAAGCACCTTACTGAGAAGGAACGGAACCTTCACTCTAGGGGTCCAAAGGACTTCCACATAAACAAAACTTATAAAAAGGCGGAGCAAGACTGCCTTAAAGCGGTAGTCTCCCTTAACAAGTAGAAAGAAAACGCACATGATCCCTTTTTACATTGAAAATTGGCTCGCTGCTCTGAAAGCGACTCACGCGTCTTCTTCTGCTTCACAGGGTTCCAAACACCCTTTTATTCCGGTTCGTGTACCGGACCTATCTTACGCCATTCAAGCCACATACGTCTCCGTTTAAGATGAGCGAAAACTTCTTTACGCGTCATCAACTGAACTTTCCTCATTCTGGAATTAGAGTACGTAAAAAATATAAGCCTCCGCTAGGGTTTGGGCAAGGTGTGACCGTACCCCAGTCGCACTTTTTAAACAAAAGCAACCTTGCGCTAACTCTAGCACCCAGAAACGTATTTAACGCTGGTCAATTAGCCTTTGAATCCATATTGAAGTCAATCTTTCCGGCTCTATTTATGGGATATCTTATTTGGAGTGAGAAACTGGGGCTCGAGGCGAGCAATTGTATTAGTGAAGGTGTTGTTAAGCACTTTATCAACGTCGAGGGAGCGAAGGAGGCGCTTCGTTCAGTAGAGAATGTTGCTTCTCTTACGCGCGATTCGGGGGGTGTGTTGGCAGTGAGGGAGATAATACCGACCGAAGAAACGCAAAGGGCACTTGAGGACCTTGGGCGCATTCAATGCGCCAAGCACATGGTGACTATGATCGGAACTGTCATCATGGTTGTTATGGTCACACGTGCCGCTATTATGACGGATTGATTGTGATTGCCGGCCCACCAAGGGTCGTGTAGCAAGTCCATTTGAACTAAGACCTAGTTCTCCCGCTACCCGAAAAAAGCGAAAGCTCCCTCGTTAAAGGGGTAGGCAAGTAGATACTCGTTCGGGACCAATACCCATCGATCTCAGTTCATACTCTGCTAGCTAGCAGGAAGTAGAACGAGAACTCTTAACAGCGTCTAAAGTACCGTACCGATTTTTCGTTAACTCACTGAACCTTAGCCTTTGATAGTTTTATCTCCCCAATTGTTTATTCGCGTTACAGATCCATAGATCGATTGGCCGGTTGCCGAGTTGACATCACACCCATGGCCTACTCCTCCATAATCGTTAGATGCAGACTGAACCATTCAACTGTCATAGGGCGGGAAAATAGGTGTTTACAGCGGAAACACCAACTATGCCCCCAGGTATAGACAAGATGATGATTCAGATAGAGAGCGTTGTCGAGCAACCCAACTCACACGCCCAGCTTACAGTAAGAGAGAGGTACCGGATAGGGCTTATCTTCTTAGTACACTGACACCCAAAAGTCCGAGTCCAGATATATCGTAATAGCACAAAAGATTTGGAACAGAAGAAGCTCTTAGGGAATCGATGACGACTAGATGAGATGCCAGTGCCATTAAACTAGCTGCCAGAACGAGTTCAAGAGATGAGGATCCAGGTAGTGAAGTCACCCTCGGGGGAAGAATCATTCCATTCACTTGTTCACCTGCTAACAAGAATAGCTTTTCTATTGCTTGAATGTGGCAAAAAAAGAAGAAGAGGCGAAGGAACCCGCGGAGAAGCTTCATGGCCTTGAGCGGGGCTAGGGGTAGAAGGGAATCAAGGAAAAGACATACTTCGGTAGCTCTTCTCTCTTGTCGACTGGGAACGAATGCTAGCATGGCTTGAATAATGACTCTCCTTCCCTTGCATTGAGTCAGTGTCGATGGTAGGCTTTCGGATAGAGAGAATTCTTTCGGGTAGGGTGGTAGGCTTCATGCTATGCTGGTATGCTTGATGATAGTCAACATGCTTAATCGGTATCGGTCTTGTTCAAATGCTTTCCGTAGTAGATCCCTTAAAGGAAGAATTGGTGCTTGACAAAGAATTAGCCCGGAACGGAGAAAGCCAAAAGGCTAGATTTATCTTCGCCAACAATAGGAGTCGATTTAGTAGTTAACGATGACAGGCATAGTAGAAAAAGGTGAGAAAGACCAGGCAATCTCCGAGTTGAAATCGATCCCAGACCCGGTAAATAAGAGTTTTCCTAGCAAGCAACGGCTTCTATTCAACTGCGTGTTTGATGGCGCGGTTGTCTTGCTGCTGCATAGTAGTTGGGCTCCATGGTATTCAACAATGCTATAGAGGAGAAGAGCAGAGTAAAGAAAGAATCATGACAGTTACGTTGTGGCGGGAATGTGTGAGCGTCTGCAAGACAACAGACACAAGGAGGCGACTGTTAATACTTTTGACCAATGGTTTAAAAAGCGGATCGATGACCCGGATCGGGCACCTCTCGGCGAATCGGCGATCCGGATCGGGAATCGGGTGAATCGGGAATCGGGAATCGGGAATCGGGAATCGAGTCAGATTAAAGCTTCAAAAAAATATGAAAAAATTATTAAAATTCATTATAAATATTGTTTTTTAGGAATTCAATAAAAAATGAGGATACTCCATTAAGAATTTTCATTTCTTTGCATGAATATGCGAATATTGATATGTTCTTCCCTGCATGAACTACTATTTACCATTTAATTTACGTCACACAAAAGGATAAACATGGAATTATCATGGAATAAGTATATCAACATACATGGACTACAATAAAGCATACAATTAGTAACATACGATCTAAAAATAAAATGACAAACGACGTCGTTCTTCTTCTTGGTCACGCTGGTGCCATTAATTGAATTCGTTTGACAATTCATTGATTCGATCTAAAAACGAATCATCGATATTAGCAGGCGTCTGACTATATCCAAATCCCTGAGTGTTTTGTTGTGTTCCCAATCCAAAATCCCTGAAGCTTATCCATTCTTCATGCACACCTACACTGTCGTGCTCATCCCTACCCTATTGCTGTTGGGACTCGATATGTGAATAATATGGCTGCGATAGAGTGGCCTCGGAATCATCATCTCTCTCATTTTCCCTTAGACCCCCTTGCCACTCTCCCTCATTAGGTGCAATATTACCGACATCTCCGACGAATTGTGGATACGTTGGCTGACTGCTTCCTCTTTCATGCTGCTCATCACCTTCTTCAAGATCTTCCTTACCGATAGCCTCAAGGAACGCTCTCTTGTGCAACACTGGCTCCTCCTCTTCTACTACCCATTGGTCTGCTGTGTCTGTGACAAATATTGTGTCTAAGTCTATCGGCCCATAGTCTTCAAGCTTTCTTCTTATTTGTCGCTCTCAGAGGTTTAAAATGTAATGAACGTAGACTGGTTTATGAAGCTTCTCCGAAGCAAGTCGATTTCTCCTGGTAGTGTG